AAAGTGAATGAGAATTTTGATGAACAAATCCCGTTCTTGATATAATAAACATGTTAATATTTTCTTTAAAATATTTCTGGCCATTTACCATATTTGTTACTTATTCCTTATTTTTTTATTATTTTCTCGCTCTGACCATCTTTTGTTTATCATTTTTCCGATATTACTCTCGTTAAATACGAGACTTGATAAAGTTACGTGACTTGGCTTTGTTGGATATTTAAAAAGTATTCAATGTGTGCGTGTTGGTAAGAGAGAAATGAAGTTCTTAAACCCTACCTTCCGACACTGCATTTATTAATCTGAATGCGTTTTGTTTTTCTTTTAAGTCTTCTCCAATGAGATTCAATATTGTTACGTTCACGAAGACTGGTGTGTTTAGAGGCAAAGTCTTTGTTTGCTGGTGTGTGTGCGCAAGAGAGAATGGTTTCGATCTTGAACGGAAATTCTTTTAAAAACACGATCGTGGGAAGAGAAAGACGAAAAGGAAGTGGGTTTTGTTTCAACTAAAACGGATGTTTCTCAAATATTTGAATCAGTATCCAAATATTTTTGCGAAGGACAATAGCGTGAATCTGACTCGGATAAAAATACACGGAAACGAAAGAAAGAAAGAAAGAAAGAAAGAAAGAAAGAAAGAAAGCACTTTTATAAAAGAGGAAAAAAGAATGAAAGGACTTTGTTAGCAAAATTAGAAAAAAAGAATGCGTTAAAAAATATAAGTTCTAAAAGAGAAAAAATATTTTGAAGAAAATAAATTTTGAAAAGAAAGAAATCATATTTAAAAAAGAAAAAAGAAAGAAAAAAGAAAGAAAATGAATGAACTTTTGAAAATAAAAAAGAAAGATAAAGAAAATTACTGAAAGAGTAAAGAAAGGAGAGTAATGGTAAGAAAGAAAGAAAGAAAGAAAGAAAGAAAGAAAGAAAGAAAGAAAGAAAGAAAGAAAACGAAAAAGAAAGAACCTTTGAAAATAAAAAAGAACGATAAAGAACATTACTGAAAAAGTAACAAAAAGAATGTAATGGAAAGAAAGAAAGAAAGAAAGAAAGAAAGAAAGAAAGAAAGAAAGAAAGAAAGAACATTTGAAAATAAAAAAAGAAAGATAGATAACATTAATGAAAAGTAATGAAAGGCAAGTGATGGTAAGAAAGAAAGAAAGAAAGAAAGAAAGAAAGAAAGAAAGAAAGAAAGAAAGAAGGAAGGAATAATTTTCGAAATAACTTTGGAAATAAAAGAACAATATGAAGAATATTAGAAAAGAATCTTTTGAAATAAAAAGAAAGAGAATGAAAGCATTTTGGAAAGAAAGAGAATTTGGAAAAAAAGGAAAACAAAATTCCCGAAAGAAAAATAAAGAAGTCACTTTTAAAAGAACGAATAAGAAAGAAAGAAAGAAAGAAAGAAAGAAAGAAAGAAAGAAAAGAAAAAAAAATAAGCAGAGAACTTGAAAAAAAAAAAAAAATCTTCCGTTTCTTTGGTGAAAAGAGAATTTTCGACTATGTGAATACATTAGTTTTCAAATAAAATTTTCTAACGATTTGGATATTCGACTTGATTGAATATCACTCGCACCTGTTAGAATTTTCCGCATTCCTGAAGAGAAAATCGTCTTTAACATCCAGTTTGGCTCCTTTCCCAAATTCACGTAACACACACACTCACGCACACGCACACACACACATACACACACACGCACACACACAAAAGTAGTGTCTTTCTCTTCACTTTCTCTCTCCCATCCTGATGGTATTTACGTACTTACTCCCCCCACCAACAACGCTGATCTTTTCCCTTCTGCCATATTAGCAAACTTAGCTTAGTAAGGCACAAGGCCAAACAGGGAAGGCGATTAAAAGCAATCATACAGTGATTAATTTTCTGACTGACTCAGTCTTGCCTCTGAGAAAATCAGCATACGAAATTTTGTCTTTTAGTTGACCTCTAGGTCGGGGACGTGTGCTTCAGCAATGCGAACTACGGGGTCCTTGATCGCTTCACGCACATCTCCACGGCGTACACCGCGCCGAGCAAGTGGAAGAAAAATAAATAGAATTGAAAATACCGAGGTTTGAACACCACACATGGGAACCGGTAAAAATACGCAAATATCTCAACAACATTGTCCGCATACATTTACCATGTCTACCTAAGTGCAGTACAAAACTAAATAGGTAGAATTGATTTAAGAAGATTGTATTGCATCCAACATTGCAGTTGGGGAGGACCAATTTTAGTTTGAAACGAATATGCATTATTGGTTCCGGTGAGAAAGGGTGAACTATTTTCGACCTTTTTTTTTCTTTATTTCTTTTTCGATCCACCATTTTTGTTTCTTCCTAGTTTCCATTTTAATTCCTTCTTTTTTTTTTTTTGTTCCATCGATTTGTTTCTTTTTACTTTTTCTGTTCATTTATTTCTTTCTTCATTTCCTTCTCATTTCCAACACTTTCTTTATTTTTATTTTCCGTTTTCATATCTTTTTTCATTATTTTTATTTTGGTTCCATAACTTTCTTTCTTTCTGTCTTTTTTTTTCATTTCTTTTTTTTTCTTTATTTCTTTCTCGTTTCCACACTTTCATTCTTTTCACTTTTCCTTTTCATTTCTTTCTTTCTCTTTTCTTTCTTTCATTGTTTTTCTTTCTTTCTTTTTGTTTCAATCTATTTCTTTCTTTGTTCTTTCTCTTTTCTTCCATTCTTTCTATATTTCTTTCTCGTTTCGATCACTTTATTTCTTTTTAATTTCCATTTTCATTTTCTTCTTTCTTTATTTCTTTCTCTTTTCCATCACTTACTTTTTTATTCTTTTCTTTCTTTATTTCTTTCTCGTTTACATCACTTTCCTTCTTTTTAATTTCGCTTTTCATTTCCTGCTTTCTTTATTTCTTTCTCGTTTCCATTGCATTATTTATTTTTCCTTTCCTTTTTCATTTCTTTCTTTCATTATTTCTTTATCTTTTTTCATCACTTTCTTTTTTTATTTTCATTTTTCGTTCCTTTCTTTCTTTATTTCTGTTAAGGGATCCACCCCCTTTTCATACAAGTGGACTCGCTCAGTGTGTACTTGTACTGCTGCCGGTGAATACCCGGGAGTGAAGTGACAGTGAACAGTGAGAGAGTAAGAGTGTGCGGTAACCACTTTGTAGGAGTCACAGTAGCGAGCACGTAGACTCAGAAGGAAATCCTACTTCGATACTGAATTTCCCAGACTGTATACATATTATTATTGCTACTAACCGCATTTCTGGATCTACTAACCGTATTACCAATTGTATTATTACGTCAATACATTTATTTGCTATATTTCATTCCTGCGTTTGTCATTCATTTGAGACCGGATTTCATCACGGAATCCACAACAATTTCTTTCTCGTTTGAATCACTTTCTTTATTTTTTACTTGCCCTTTTCATTTCTTTCTTTATTTCTTTCTCGTTTTTATCACTTTCTTTCTTTTTACCATTCCCTTTTTTCATTCCTTTCTTTCGTTATTTCTTTTTCGTTTCCATCACTTTCTGTCTTTTTATTTTCCCTTTTCATTTCTTTCTTTCTTTCTTTCTCCTTTCTGTAGCTTTCTTTCTTTCTATTTTCCTTTTCATTTTTTTCTTTCTTCATTTCTTTTTGCCATCACGTTCTTTCGTTTTACTTTCCCTTTTCATTTCTTTCTTTCTTTATTTTTTCTCCTTTCTATCGCTTTCTTTCTTTCTTTCTTTCTTTCTTTCTTTCTTTCTTTCTTTCTTTCTATTTTCCCTTTTCATTTCTTTTTTCTTTATTTCTTTCTCGTTTCTATGACTTTACTTCTTTTTTACTTTCTCTTTTCATTTCTTTCTTTATGTCTTTCTCTTTTCCATCACTTTCTTTTTATTTTCTCTTTTCATTTGTTTCTTTCTTTCTTTATTTCTTTCCCTTTTCCATAATTTTCTTTCTTTTTACTTTCCTTTTTCATTTCTTTCTTTCAAAACGGGTCTATTTTACGTTCAGAAATTGTTTTTCTTCATACTTACTTTTTTCTATCATGTTCTCATTTTTTTTTCTTTGTTTTAAAAGTGGTTATTCTTCAGAGATTCCATGTTTTCTTTCTTTCTTTTTTCCTTTGTTTATTGCTTTATTCATTTATTTAGTTCATAAATTTTATGTCCTTGTACCTTTTCTTTGAAAATTTCTTCCTTTCTGTCATTTGTTCTCGTCTTGTTTCAAAATTATCTCCTTCCTTCGTTTATTTTAAAAGTTCTCTCTTCCGAAAATATTTGTTTTTATTTTTTTTCCACTTTTTTAGACTTTAGGATAGAATTACAGGTCGCCTTCTTGGCCTCATGATTTCCACTGAGTTGAAGTGGAGCAACTCCATCGAATCAATAACTGCATCTATTGCAAGGAAATTGACAGAGCGAGTTTCATGCACATTTACAAAAAAATCACAACTATCAATTAAATTAATGTTTTGGCTTAGTAATTCACCCCTGAAGACAACATTGGATAAGATTAAAAATAAAAGAAACAACCAAAACTACGGCGTCTTTCTTATTCAGTTTTGAAACAGCACTTTGAGAGGATTAAAATAAAATAAATAGACATAATATATTTTGAATAAAAAAAATTCTGCCTAAATACACACGCACACACAAACACACACACACATATATACATATACATATATGTGTGTGTATTAATCACTTCACCCCAAGTAAAGCGATAATGCCAGAATGCAAGTGGTTACTGCCACTGAAAGAGAATAAAAACTTTAGTGAGAAGAACCGAGAAGGAAGGACAATAATAGAACGGACATAAATGTCGTTGCATTTGTATTTAAGTTTTTGAAAATTGTAGGTGGCTAGAAACTGGAAGAGAGTTTCACAGGCGAGAAAAGAAACTATTAGAATTAAGGGCCTTTACTTTCAGTCAAACAATATATTTTATATTTGCATTTTATTATGTTGTAAAAGGGACTTGCATCTACCTTTCTGTAAATCAGAACTAACTCTACTTTTTGTTAACTGGACCTATGACAGCCATTTTTAATCTATCTATCTATCTATCTATCTATCTATCTATCTATCTATCTATCACACACACACACACACACACACACACACATATATGTGTGTGTGTGTATTCAGCAACTGATAGACTGTTTCGTTGCATCGCAGCTCATCAGTGTGACGAGCATGCGATTGCCTCAATCGGGATCGAAACCCGATTTGACATCAGTCGGGGACACTCACCCTCAGGCCATCAGCGCCCGCTACAGAGAAAGGGAATTTTTAACGCATTATATATGATATATAAAAATTGCCAACTTCCAGAGAGCTCATTTCATAGCGAAGAACTTTTAGCATTAATCAGCAGTAGCCAACAAATTCCCTTTCTTCCAAAGTGCTCAACCTACGAAAGGGAGCAGAGAGAGAGAGAGAGAGAGAGAGAGAGAGAGAGGATGATAGATAGATGCCTATTAATTCATTGTGATTTTTGTCTTATAAATCATACACACACACACATATATATGTGTGTGTGTGTGTTTGTGTAATTTATTTAAGTAAATGAACCTGTACCCTATTGTGGACCGTCATTTGATTTGACGTGCTGTTAACCATTCAGTCACAGAGAAGCGTCTGGTTAGCACATTCTGAACTAATATTTCATTCAACCGGTAAATGTAAATTAATACTGTTTAATTAAAAAACAGAGCTATTACTTAAATAAATTATATCGAAAATAAAGTATGAAAAAAATGGATTAAATTTGACAATTATTTAATTTATTTTCTATATATAAAATAATTGTCGAACGTAATCCATTTCATAATACATACATACATATATATATATATATATATGTGTGTGTGTGTGTGTATATTATGTATAGAAATTACGTTTTTATATATAGAAAAATATATTAAATAATTGTCAAATTTAATTCCTATATATAAAATAATTGTCGAACGTAATCCATTTCATAATACATACATACATACATACATACATACACACACACACACACACACACACACACACATATATATATATATATATATATATATATATATATATATATATATATATATATATATTGTTTATAAAAGGATATTTTTTAATATTTGTTGCTCATATTTCAGTCCTAAGAAATTTTTTCCAATCAAATGCTCCTCGTCGGTATCTGATATTTTATTCATTTTTCAAGATGCAAAAGTCGATACCGTCGTTCAGTCGTTTTGCCTTAGGCATAAGGTGAGTTGACCGTTTTATTACAGAGTGTCTCCCCAAGGAGTCCTACCAATTAAAGGTCAAGAGAGAATGTTGTCTCGTTTGAACAAGTCCAAGGTGACATTTACCACACGTAAAGTAGCATGATAGCTTCAAGATTCTTGACAGGATTGTGGTCAGGTGAATTCCCCAGCTACTATCCAGATCCTCCATTTTGGAAAATAAACTTGAACTTTGACTCGTTCAAGACATGAGTCAGAGTTTTAGTTTAATATTTATGTTCATGTACAGCTTGTGTGGTGGGCATAACTCGCATCGAAAACGCCAGGAAAATCTTAGTTTTTATATGAAACAGGTTGATTCTTGTGTTAATTGCAATTCTTCTACTTGGCGCCCAAACAAACAAACAAACAAAAAAATAAATAAATAAATAAAATAATAAAAAACAGCAAATATTGGCGCAATACTATCTACCTTTTAGCTATTCAAAGCTAAGTTTTCAAAATAAAGCGTTTAATAAATCTTATAACAGAAAAAATAATGACGAAAAAGCATTACCAATCACTAAGTTATCGATAAATCTATTAACACTTCATAAAAACATCCATCTCCGTGTTAAACAAAATTATTTTCTCCGATATTCTAAATTAAAAGTAAGAAATATTTGTTTTAATTCAAATTAATTAAACTTTAAATTAGTTAATCTTCATCAAATAAAGTTTCAGAAAAGTAGATTTAATTTTTAAAAGAGTTTTAAGAAAGAGAATAATGTTGCTTTGACAGATTTGTCAATATAGTCGGTTTTAACGATTAAAAAATTCCCCCTAAAGAATTTAAATTCAGTTTGAAATATCACAAAATATTTTGCTTATTGAAAATATTAAATTTAATCTTGGAATTTAATTAATTAATTAATTAATAATTTAATTAATTGAAATTTAATCTTAATTTAAGCTTGGAATTAAATTTATAGAAATTAACTAAAAAAAAGCTTTAAGAATGACTTTTCATCTTTAAAAAGGAATTACTTTTTAGGTAGCTATAGTAGAATGACAAAAAATAATCCCTGAAAGGGGCTGTTTAGCCGAAACTGTTTGCAATTAAGAAACTTTTGGAAAATTTTAACATTCTTGTAGAAAGGTAGGCACTTGTAAATATAGAAGAAAAATATAATGAAATGCAAAACAAAAGTACGTTGTCAGTTTTGTTCCACGAAACATGTATTAAAAAGGGATTGGTGCCCAAATGGACAAGCACACACACACACACACACACACACACACACACACACATATATATATATATATATATATATATATATATATATATATACACACACACAGATTTCATGATTTTATATGTATAACGTAACCTCTTAAAGACTCAATTCACTGTTCGATCATTTCGAAAAAAAAATGATTTTGGGGGTTTTGACCTTTGTTAGAAGACATGTGAGAAAATTTCTGTTTTGAACCAAAAATCAAATGTTGATCTTTACAAAGAATTGACAAGAAGAAGAAGAAGAAGAAGAAGAAGAAGAAGAAGTAGCAACAGACGAAGAAGAAGAAGAAGAAGAAGAAGAAGAAGAAGAAGAAGACCAGCAACACGAAAAACAATGATAACAATGTCGCTGAACCAGCAAAATATTGTATTTAACAAATTAAAAATAAATGGAGAAAAATCGGTGAGATCTGCAGATATAGTTAAAATCTACGAACGAACGCAGCAAGTGTTAAGATGTCAGCCATCATTCTTTTCCCCCCGTTTTTGCGCATGCGTGTAAAAGGCTTAAGTAATATCATTTTTATCAACGTCTGCGCTGTTGCACTATCGGAGCAATCTGTCGCATGAAATGAAGACGAGTAGAAGTTATGTAGGCCATTAGGAGAATAAACAACTTGTATCTTTTATCATCTGCCACTAAACGAAGGTAACTGGTGCAAGAGATGGCATCACCAATCGAAATTATCGTTAATCAGTCGATTGGTATTTTCGTAAATTAAGTGTTTTCATTAATCCGTACATTATTCAAATCTCGTTAGTTCTCACACTTTTAATATATATATATATATATATATATATATATATATATATATATTACTTATTATAAAACGCAGATTGTGTGTGTGTGTGTGTGTGTGTGTCTGTAACGTTTATATATTGGATCGGATTTCCTACATTTTTCAACCGATTTCAACAAAACTTCACAGGACTACATAAAAATACCTTGTGGTGGTTCTAACAGCGCCAAACATGGGAAAAATACAATTGTTTTGCACAAAATCAATTTGAAAACACGATTAAGAGACATCGTGAGAATGAAAGGGGGACAACTCACATCGGGTTGTTTGTGTGCGTAGGCTCCTTTAAATATGGGATTGGATTTTCTACATTTTTCAGCCGATAAAACAGAAATTCACTTTTTTTTGGCAGGTAGTTTTTCTTATTCTCTTGCACACTTTTTTCTTTATTTTTAATATTCAGAATGCTTTAAAAATTCCATTTACAAGACAATTGTTTATAATAAAATTCTATTCAATCGAGAGACTCATAACGATTGAAAACAATGTTTTTCTTTGAGTTTGAGTTTAACCAATTCGTAAAAAAAACTAAAAAAAAACTAATTAAGACATGCGTGTCCGTCAACCTTAAACAATAATCTAACGATCTCTACTGATTGTCCGAATCCAAACATCGGATAATTCTTTATCTTTAGGGAAAGATAATGAAATCTAAACATACACAAGTCCTCCTAACTAAAAATAATAACCGGAAACTACTTTAGTTTAAATACACATGATGTCCTGTTTTTTTTTTTACTGTATGCAATAAGTAAAAATCATAAATTGTAAAAGATTATTATTACAGAAAGGCTACTAAATGAATAAGATTTGTTAGATCATAATTAAGAAACCCAAATAAAGTTAATATTTTTTGTATTAGAAACAACGAGTGGAAAATATATTCAAATCAGAATTTTAATTATGAATCACCACAAGCAAAATATGCAATTTTTTTAATGTATTCAATAAGTAAAAGTCATAAATTGTAAAACTAAAAGATTACAGAAAGGCTACCTACATTTTTCAACCGATTTCAACAAAACTTCACTTTTTTTTGGCATGTAGTGTTTCTTAATGTCTTGCACACTTTTTTCTTTATTTTTACATTCAGAATGCTTTAAAAATTCCATTTACAAGACAATTGTTTATAATAAAATTCTATTCAACCGATAGACTCATAATGATTGAAAACAATGTTTTTGTTTGAGTTTGGGTTTGACCAATTCGTAAAAAAACAAAAAAAAAAACAAAAAAAAATTAAGACATGCGTATCCGTCAACCTTAAACAATAGTCTTTGTCAATTTTATTTTTCAGTCTTTATAATGGTGGATACTTGATCTATCTCTTACTGTTATATCCCCAGGCAACGCCGGGCTCTACTACTAGTATATATATATATATATATATATATATATATATATATATAAACGGAATATATCCTAAAGAGCCAGGAACATTTCACTGGCTAGCTTACCCTGAAGATCCGTTTAGATGAAACCTAGGTAGGTTGTTCCTGGCTCTTTAGAAATTTATTCCATTTATACCTGCTCTACTTAGCGTATTGAGCACTTTATGTTTTAGCTTTATTACTCGCTTGGGTTTTTTTTCTTTGGACTGAAAACTTAAGGCATTGGATGATTTATTTCGCCCTTTTCGGATGTTCTTTCTTTTTTTTCAAATTTTTTCCTCGGGTACCAATTTGTTTTCATAGACTTACGAGTTGTGCTATCCGAGGTTTTTTACAACCGAGTAATATCCAGTAGTTTAATAATAATAATAATAATAATAATAATGATATATATATATATATATATATATACATATATATATATATATATATATATAGAGAGAGAGAGAAAGATAATATTAGTGGCAAATATACACATACATATGCAAAATATATAAATATATATACATACATACATACATACACATACATATATATTTTTTGTATAAAAAAAATTCCAAGAGGATAGAATCGAGGTAGTACAGTCCAGTAGTCTTAGCGACGCGATTCGTCCTCTGAGGGACTTTATCAAGTCAACATCATATTTATTTTGTTGCACATGTTTATATACAAAATCGAGAATGTCATTGTTTTATAAAGGCTTTTATATTTGAGACTGTTAATTAATGTTCATCCCGTTGGTGAAAGGCCATTTAAAATATGTGAAGGACACAAAACGTCATAATTCAATGTCTGGTAAAAAGTAAGCGAGTAATATAAAAGAAATATTTTTCTTTTTTTAAATAAATATTGTGTAAATTGTGACTAGGTTGTTATTCATTACTTTCTATCAGACTTTGAATTATGACACATTGTGTCTTCCATATATATATATATATATATATATATATATATATATATATATATATATATGGAATTTGTAGGTCTGATGATTTGGATCGTATTTACGATTCCAATGGAATAAATTATGACCATGGAATATTAGTGTTTAAGCCTTTTTATTATATATATATATATATCATGAAACGGACAAAGTCCGACAATTATTTTAAGACATTTTTATGTTTATACATCTTTTTATAGATACAAATATTTAAGTAAATACTCTGTTTTATAATAAACAGTATTAATAACATTTACCGATATGAATGTACGTGAGAGATTCATGGAAGATTGTAGTTTAAAAGCAGTAAAATCGAGCTTGTTAACCGAACGATCCTCTGTGGCTCATTCGGTTAAGGCACGTCAAGCTCTATGATGGTTCCGTATAGGATACAGGTTCGAATCCTATCGGAGGACGAATATTTTCTATGAAAATTTCTCGGACATTCAGACCGGTAAATGTTATTAATACTGTTTCTTATAAAACAGAGCATTTACTTAAATATTTGTATCTATAAAAAGAAAGCATAAAAATATCTTAATATACATATTATGACACTTTGGAATATTTTTCAATTGTCACTTTTAAACCAATTTGTTTATTATTCTG